GCACTAGATTTGAGAGGAACCTGAAGGGAAGTAAGTCGATAGCCCTACTGAAAGCCTGCATTAGCATTGATAACCATTATAAGCCAAACTGCGCTGAAGCCGGTAAGTTATGGGCAATTAATCGGCTTGTTATCATAGTTCGTCATTGTTCCATGGCTCGCGAAATTGTTTAACAATTCAACTTGAACGAAGTAGGTTCAGAACTTAAGACGGAAGACTCACGCCGCCCTCTGTTCCTTCTTAGATTAGCGGAATATAATCCTCTGAGAGCCTTTGGAAAATCTCATCAGTCCCGTGACAGAAACGATGAGAAGCATTGATTTTGTTCTATGGTCAAAACCAACTGCAAGAAGGGTTACAAAGGATAAAGATCATTGAAGCTGTCCCTCATTCAGAAAAATTCAAATTCTCATCATGAGATAGCTACACATGTCACGTGCCTGCACCATTTCAGGCGTTTGGACGCAGTCTCGCTGATCTCATCAAATGGGAAAGGCGTTCATGCAAGTCCATCATCTTGCCTGCATAATGGGGCCTCGAAGGTCGAGCCAAACCATAGCGGCGGAACCCAGAGACCAAGGATTCTACACAGATAAGAGCAGACTAAGAGAGATAAACTCTTGAGAATCCCAGCACAGTGTTCACATCCCTCTTTTGTTTTTCAGAACCGAGTCAAGCCGCCACTTCACCGCCCCGGGTGGCCGTAACGTGGGTCTCTGAGTCAACCATTGCAGTGGTGAGCCGAGCAAGTGGGGTACAATATCTACAATAGGCAACTTCTGAAGGCTTGCACCATCAGTTTGACGATGACGTGCTTGTTAGAGTAACACGAAGGATCAAAAGTCGTCTGACATTTGTCTTGATACGTCAGTTTCTGGTGGATGCGTCGTCTCTTATCGGAATTATGTGGATGTCGTCAGTGAAAACTTTTGGTATTTGCACCTTGCCTATGGATTTGCCCAGCAATGAGTAACGAGGCGTTGCTGATGGTGTGCTCGAAACACCGCTGCGATGCTGCAGCTGCAAGTGATAAGAGCGAGCATCTTTCCATACAATTTTACTCTGGAAGGTTTTTTACGGGCATTATTTGCCAACGATGATCCTGCCTGATCACTAATTAATCACGACTAGTTGCTTTGTCGGCTCGTATCTCGACAATATAGACTATGGCCGACTACGACATCAAAGAGGTGGCAGAGCCGCCTACTACGGACGATGTCTCTTATTCAGACGAGCGCTCCGCATCGGTCGCGTCGAATTTGGCGCCGACGGGAGCAAAGAACCCGGAGCAAGCTGCCAAAAGCCTTCCGAAGACTGGCGCCGATGCTGCCCTCGAACTTCTCAACGAGACTGGCCCTCTAGGCCGCACTATTAATCCGGAGCTGAACAGAAGGCTCAAGCGCCGCATCGACACTCATATCATGCCGCTGATCTGCATCGTGTACTTCTTGCAATACATTGACAAGACAGCCATCTCATATGCCAGCGTCACAGGCATTCAGCAATCCACTGGTCTCCACGGGAATCAGTTCAACTGGGTTGCTTCCATCTTCTTCTTTGGTCAGCTCGCTTTCGAGTTCCCGACAATCCGACTCATCCAGATGTTTCCTCTTGCAAAGTACACCTCCATCAACATCATTCTATGGGGCGTCGTTCTAGCTTGTCTCGCGGCATGCAAGAACTACGCTGGCCTGCTCGTCTGCCGTTTTCTCCTTGGGGCGTTTGAAGCGGCTGTAGTGCCTGCATGGGTTCTCTTCACCTCGCAGTGGTACACCAAGCAGGAACAAGCATTCCGCGTCGGGATATGGTTCTCCGTCTGCGGTGCAGCTCAAATGTTCGGTGGCTTCTTCGCATATGGCGTCGCAACACACGTTGGAAAGGACCCCAACGCAGCTTTGAGGGGTTGGCAGGTGATTTTCTTGTTCCTTGGTCTGCTGACCGCACTCGTTGGCATCGCGTTCTTCTTCATTATGCCTGACTCGCCGGCCACTGCCAGATTCCTTTCTCAGGAAGAGAAGGCGACGCACCTTGAGCGCATCCGAGATAATGAGCAAGGTATTGGATCGCAGGAGTTCAAATGGAAGCACGTCAAAGAGGCATTGCTCGACGTCATGACTTGGCTCTATGCTTTTTGGATCTTCGCGGCCAACATCCCCAACTCCATTGCGACCAGCTTCGGGAATATCTTAGTGCGGGGGATGGGATACACGAGCGAGGAGTCTCTGCTTCTCGTCACCCCGCTCGGTGCCTACGAGATCGTAGCGTTGGTCGGCCTGACTTGGCTGGCAATGAAGACGAGACAACGACTCTACTGGTGCATTGCCGGCCACATCCCCGCCATTATCGGCGCCATTCTCATGGCTACGACTTCGAAGGTCCCCGCCTTGATCGGATACTACACTTCAGGAGGCATTCCGATCGGATGGACGACGATTTTGGGGCTGCAGAGCACCAACGTTGCAGGTTCCACCAAGAAAGTCACCGTCGCATGCATTGGCACCATCGCGTACACCATCGGTAACATCATTTCGCCTCAGACTTTCCAGGCTCGGGATGCACCCAGGTATCTCCCCGCCAAAATTTCGATTTGCATCATCTACATTTTGGTTACAGTCGACTTGTTCTTGATGCGCTGGGTGTTGGAAAGAAGAAACAAGGAGCGTGATGCTGAAAAGGCAGCTTTAGGAGATGATTATAAGGTGAAGGAGAACCACGAGTTCTGGGATTTGACCGATCTTGAGAACAAAGAGTTCAGGTATGAGTTGTAAATTATACATTCATTGTCAGCTGTATGTTCGCCGTTTTATAGTGTATCCCTTGCGACACGTATCTCCTATCATATACGAACTCGTCTCACAGCCTACGTCTTCCATTGTCTATAGTTGCATTGAAATTGCTACTGCGGTCTTCGAATAGTCCTACAGGTGCAATGATAGGGGCAATCCGACTCAACCAAGAGTAAATGTTGGTTATGCAGCTCAAGGAAGAAAGTCTTTGAAATTCTGTGACTCAGACTTAGTAATAATACACGACAATGAGACCCAACTCAGTCGCAGGATGTTTCTGCACTTACCCGTGGGAGCTTGACCTGACGTCTGATTCATGAGATTCGCGGTTCAGCAAAAATAGCTCGGCGCGCAGAGAGTCTTGGTGGTTACATTCCTTCTCCTTGGTGGCAACTCAGAACGTCATACGGCCTTGACTTCTCCAGTGGCCGTTGTCTAGGCATTGCGATGGCACTTTTCTGTCACGCCATTTTCTTTTCGGACTTGATATTGATGTTTTGTCTTTTACTGCGTTGCTTTCAGTGTATCGTGTTAATCGTGGTTGCGAGTGTAGTATCATTGGGGAAGGACTTGACTTCATCCTTCGGAATGTCATCCAGCTGATGGCAGTCGCACTGCTTCATCCGTGTGAATACTAGAAGCTTTTCCAGAACCGCAAATTCAACTTTCAACTTGATGCTGTAGACGATGGGTTTGCTGGTTGTCTGGAAGACAAAATAGCCCGTGTACTCCAGGATGACGAGCCCGGTATCGAGAAGGAATACCAACACGAACATGCTGACAAGAAAGCTGAGCAGGACCTTTGCCTCCTGCGCCTTGAATTCGAAGAGGCTTTTGAAGTTTCGAAATCCAGCCCTGACGAAGATTCCGGTGATGAACATTTCCTGCAGAGTAAACACCATCAACGATGCCTTTTCGAATATCTTGAAGCGATTGTCCCAAGCTGGGCTATTGCCTGCCCAGACGCCAGCGAAGAGGACCGTTTGCGGGATATGAACGCAGAAGAAGGACGTTATTATCATCGCCAACACCAACCGGATGGTGATGCGATTGTAAACGACGAGATGCAGTCGTGACCACAATACGACGGACTGGCCCGTGACCATACAGTACCAGCCAATATGAGCGAATATCCCTGGTATCACCGTTTTTGTCGGCTGCATAAACCGACCCAAGCCGCCACAGGCATGAAGCAGGATGCCGGTATTCGCGATCAGCATGCTCCAAAAATATCGTCCGCTTCGTCGTCGAAACCTCGTGAAGATGAGGACGTATAACTCGAGGGCGTTGTAGATGCCAGCCGTCGCTAGGCACGTAATCGCGACTGCCTCCTCGGTTGACAGGTTCTGACCTATCGCCCCCTTGACCTGCGCCATATCCCGAGGCGAGGGGGGCCAGAGAGGCCGATTTCTTTGCTCAAAATTGTACACCAATCGATGGTAGATTCTACTTTTGACTCTGCGATAATAGTGTGAGCTTAGGTGTAAGCCCGATGGAGATAACTGGAGCAAGCGGGGCCGACAAAGTCCGAGAAAGACGACATAGTTGTTGGCCGGACCGAGATGGTTTTGATGTGTTTCACGGAATGCTATCATAGGGAAGACTCGGCTTCCCCCGACCTTCTCGCAACAGCAAGGTTCGCCCGATCGAGTCATTGAAACATCTTATCGTTTTGCCAAGATACCTTGTAGGCACACTTGGGATCGCACTCTCGGACTCTGCCACTTTGCAATGGTCTCAGTTCGTCTTGCTATCCGTGCAAACGACGATAAGGGGACCGAGCGTGAGGGATTGCCCTACCTATCAAGCAAAGCATGCCTCCTTTCCATCGTTCTCGCTTCCCCTTACGTCAAGTTTCATCATACTCACCCAAAGTTCGCCGCGATTGCTAGTACTGGACTTCGGTTGGCTGTCGAGTAGCTGCTTGGTACGGATGGCGAACACTGCTAAATCTTTGCTCGCCTTGGCTGAGCCTCGCTGTATCAACTTGGACACTATATGCATAAAGTTTACTCGGAATCACTTCCAGCCCCGAAAGCCTAAAGGCCGCCCCATGAGCATTCAATAGCGCTGCGCGACAATGGCACGTGAATGGGTAGAGATGAGCCGCCTTAGTGAAACTTAATACGGATGTAGTCTTGAGACTAAATGAGCCAAGAATCATCATCTCATCCCAGGCCACGTGGTATCATTAGATCTAGACGTGATTCGACTTCAGACCGCTTCATTGACTTTGGCATCCTCCTTTGCGGCAATTATGACGACGCAGTACACAGCAACCGCGGCGAAGAACACAAATAAGGCAGTGATTGTACTGAACCATCCGACGCCAATGCTTTGAATTGCAGGCAAACATGAAGCAGTACCGACAGCTGCAATAGCGTATCGGAAGAAGTAATTCCCCGCTACATGAACACATGTTGTTAACATTTTGATGTATGACACAAGATGTGGTCTGCACGTAGAAGAGGGACGAACCTATGACTTCGGCGCTCCGGCCTTTAAACACATCCAAGCAGTACGTGTTGATGCTGGGAAATGCGATTACCTGGGCGAAGCCCTGGATAAACATGCAGATTACCGGAAGTGGAATCCCGCCGACCGCCTTCTCAATGGACCAGCCGTAGACGATGATACAAATAGGGATCACAGCTCCCATAGCCACAAATGAACTCCTCAGACGGTCCTCGGGGACTCTACGACCCCTGATGTTGATCCAGTGCTTGACGGTTCGGTCTGCCCAGCGTCCTCCGGCATACGTGCCAAAGAAGAAGCCACATCCTGGTGCGAGGAAGAATAGTCCTGATTCGAGCGGCGACGTGAGGTTAAACCTAGGGTTGATGACGTATCGGATAGGAGTGAGCAATGCTTGCATGTTCCAAACCAAGGCTGAAGCAGCCACTCCCTATGTCGCATGATTAGAACAGTTGATGATATGAAAAGGTTTCGGAGTGGAGCTTACAGCCACGAAGAGTTTAGGTATCAGCAATAGAGCTAGTACACGGAACGGGTTTGCCCAGTCCCAGACCTGGGCTACCTTCGCCTTGGTGCTCAATCCCTTCAACTCGTCGGAGCGCAGTCGGTGGCTGGTTTCTGGGAGGAATGCCACCGCAAGGATTGCCGTGAGTCCGGCAAGAGCAGACTGGAACCAAAACAATGATCTCCAGCTATGGAAGTTCACCATAACGCCGCCGATGAATGGTCCGAAGCTCTGACCGATGAGAGTGCCATTGAGAAAGAATGCAAGTGCGGTGCCCCGTTCCGTGGGCTTGTAAATGTCGCCGATGCAGCTGGAGCCGAGCACCAGATATGCCGTACCCGTGAACGCCGAAAACATACGGAAGACGAAAAATGCTGCGAGGTTTGGCGACAGGGCCGTTCCTACATTGAAGGCAAAGAAGGTACACGCTGAAATAATGCATGGCTGCGTGGTTTCTGTGAGCTGGTGTTAAGATATTGGACCAAAACTTGTCAACCTACCCATTTCCGACCGTACACTTGACTGATGGGGCCCCAGAAGAGGGTGCATATACCCATGAATAAAACGTAGATGGCGTTGCTGACATTGATGGTAGTTCCAGTTGTGTCGAGATCGGCAGCAATTTCGGGGATGGCAGCCAGAAGCAACAAGGAGGAGACTGTCGACGCAATCCCACCGCACGCCACAACCGCTGTTACGAGCCTCTTCTTGGCTGGCGTGAACCTGTTGTAAATAGCCTCGGTGTCTTGGCGGCTTAGACCAGCATCGTTGACATCGACGGCTGGCACAATACTGCCACTCTTCTCCGCATTGGAAGTTGTCGGCACCAAGTCCGGGGTTTCGGGCCGGCCGTCGCTGCTCGGCTCCGGCTTCTCAGACTGTTCGATCTCATCGTGGGACATGTTCGCGGGCTACCAATGTGGGACGAGAGACCTGGCTTGGCTTTCTCCGTTCGACCATGCGGGGATAAATCTTAGAAAAGACCTTGACTTGGCAACCGCATAGCATTGCGCAAATATGAATGGGGAATACAAGTTTTTCAGAGCTAGCTGCCCGAAAAACTCGGCAAAGAAAGGATGTTGACCGACGGCATTTCGAGGCATCCACCCGGCGGAAACGTCTGCCACATTTCACCTGGCTGACTTTTCCGACCTCGGTGACTGGACTGATAGATCATCCCCCGGAATAGCCCAATTGTCCCCGCAAAATTGGTAGATGAATTGCTTGAAACAGAAGCCATCACTTCGTGTCCACGAATCAGACACTGCCTCGCTGAATTCATGGTAGCATTGCTGGGGCGCGGGGGTTAGCCGCGACGGACATCTCCCGACGGGCTTTCCCCGGGGGCTAGCAATTAAGGCCAAATGGTGGGGGTTGACCGAGATCGATACTAGAACGGCAATGTTTGTGTCTCTATGGACATATTTGCGTGGTATCTAGAGCTCCGAGATCGGCCGGCTCCGAAACAAACGGCTCGGTCGCCGAATGCTCAACAGAAATCGGTGTCGAGTGGTGTCAACGGACCTGTCGACCTGCGAACCTGTGCCGGGCTCGGCTCCGGTGATACGGAATCCTATTTTGGAACGAGAGGTACGGAAGACATTATGTGGTTGAGCCGCATCTTTATCCGCAAACTTGAAGGGCAGCAGTGGAATACTGCGTGGGGGACAGATGATCACTTGCTATTCTTGCAAAGTCGCTTGCGTAAATATATATATATAAAAGCATAACCTGTCGCAGATACAAGAGCTCTATGAGAGTTATTCAGAGCATATGACCGTCGATCAAGCTTTTCCTGAGCTTGGTTCCTCAGAAGCTAGCACTCAACTTTCATGTTCATGTTATTGGAGGGGATTGATGAGGAGCGGTACAGAGTAAGTGAGAGGTGTGCCGATAGCCGGGCTGATGATGACCCGAGCAACAGAAAAGATTCACTGCGGGGAGTGCGGGCATAACATGATTGCCCTCCCTGACTCTTTGTCATCTGAAAGCAGAGAGTTCATTCGGGGAAACTTTCATCCTATCTGCTCTTGGACAGCACTAACAGATGCCACTCCTCCGACCCTGACAAGCAGCATCCTCAAGCACTTACACAACTCGCACAATGATGGACAAGGGATCGGGTGCAGCCAATGACACGCAACCTCTCAACATCGACGACTTCACCGCCGCGCTTGAGTTTGACTTCATAACGTCGAACTTTGTTAACAATCAACAACTCGATATTACCAGCTTTGGACCCGGACAAGTCGAAATCTCGCAAGATTTACAGAGCGTTGGTTCTATTGAACTTCTCGGTGATCTTGGTGTTGAGTCATCTCATCAACAAGATGCATTTGCGATTGGCCCCGCTGCCCCAACCGCTCTCGGTAGCCAACATGTCAGTATGGACTTTGCCGAAAGGCAACCCGTGAATAACGTCAACCAATTTGACGAGCCTAGCGTATTTTTGTTTTCGGAAGCCTTGGGCGATGGAGAGCCTATGGGACACCTGTTTGGCAACGAAGGGAACAACATACCATCACTCCAGCCTTCAGATACTACAACGCCGCCGAAGATCGGAACTCGCTTTTCATCCAAGTCCCTCCGCATTCTGAAGACATGGCTGGCCAACAACAATCATCACCCGTACCCAACCACGGAGGACATGGAGATATTGCAGCGACAAACCGGCCTCAGCAGACAGCAGATTACCAATTGGCTGGCCAACACCCGCAGACGGACGCGCTTCAAAGTGCCGCCAAAACGTCCGCCTTCTCCAGCGATTACCTCTACTAGAACAATGCCCATCGACATTCCTGCAGGCTCCAGCCTTTCCGACACTTTCCAACACTTGAACCCTCTCCAAAGATGGCAGGTTTCGCCTCCAGAGCATGAACCTGCGTCCGTATCGGCAATTGCCAACGCTGTGTCTGGATTTTCGTCAGAAGGAGAAGACTTGGGTGACCGATCATTGACAGACACCATTCCAACGCGTTCCTTATACGGGCAGTCTTCGGCGAGCAGTGCAGGAACGTCTCACTCCAGTAGGAGTTCGGCCAACTCAGCATATTCACACAACTCTCACACGTCTCTGAGGTCTCTCGAACCCCTTGGAAAAAGCGCAGTCAAGCGGAGACGGCGTCGAGCGCTGGCAAAACGCCCCGAGGCTAAGGGTACAGGAACCCTGTGGCAGACCAGCAACACATATCAGTGCACGTTCTGTACAGAGACGTTCAAGACTAAACACAATTGGCAGCGTCACGAAAAGTCGTTGCATCTGTCTCTTGAGCGTTGGGAATGCGCTCCGACCGGTGCGACTGTACCAGACGCTAGCGGGCAGCCGGTGTGCATCTTTTGCAGCGAAGCGAACCCGAACAAGGAACATTTAGAGAAGCACAATTATCAGGCATGTAGGGACCGTCAGTCTGAAGACCGAACATTCTATCGAAAAGATCACCTGCAGCAACATTTGAAGCTGGTTCATGATGCCAAATTTTTGAGGTGGCCTATGGGAGACTGGAAATACGAGAGCGAGATTGTACGTTCCCGGTGCGGCTTTTGCGGCCACACGATGTCTTCGTGGACAGATCGGATTGATCACCTGGCCGAGCACTTCAAAGACGGAAAGACGATGGCAGATTGGCATGGTGATTGGGGATTCGACGACAATGTCTTGAACATGGTCGAGAACTCGGTGCAGCCTTGTAAGTGTTACCATGTTATCGGAGCATTACAGCGTGCAAAATCTAACTGATGCTGCCTAGACTTGATTCACATGGAACGAAACTCGCCATGGCCGTTTACAACGAAGCAAGGCGTCCCAGAGACACCACCCAATGCCTACGAGCTAATCAAGCTGGAGCTTGAACACTTTTCTGCCGAACACCAGAATACAAAGGACGAGATACCTACAAATGCGGAACTTCTGTACGAAAGTTGCTGCGTCATTTTTGGGTGCGACTCAATCTCATTCTCTAAGAGACCTGCAACGTCAACCCAGAGCTGGCTGCGAGATCTGCTTATGTCGTCCGAGTCCATCGTACAGCAGGCGCGGGTCCGACCGATGAAGAACAATGCAAGGGCACGATTTACGTATCTTAGCATAAACGGCAAAGCGTGCATCTTTGAGGCTTGTGGGTTGGAAGAGCAACTGCAGAGCTACGTGGAGATTTCCAAGTTGATTGAGCCACAGATTTCCGACGAGGAGTTACAACGAGAGGCCTGCAACATTGTCGACAGGATCGAGGCTTCTTCACCCAACCCCTCGGAAATATTTACGAACTTTTTGTTTAGTATCATCAATGGCTCTTCTCACTGGCTTGCCGCATTCCGTCACCGGACTGGACTCTCGCCGTCGGAGGCGTCGAATGCCATTCCTCCTTCCAACGTATCTGAAGCAGTTCTAGGCTCCATAGCAGCTGAGGCCGGTCTCGAGTTCTCGGGGGCGAACCTTTCTTCAGGAAGCACACCTGATCCGATACAAATGAATGCTGCCGGGAGCAAGACGGGCGATATCAGCAAGGTGTACTCGACCTCCTCGTTCTTTGTCAACGACGACAACTGCTACAGGAAATTGATGAAAGAGCTCACTCGCTTCGTGACCATCACGACGTCGCCACGCAATCCGAATAGGCGCATTCCCACCGATGCCGAGCTCCAGCATCAGGCGAGGTGGATTTCTTTTGAAGAGTAGTACCCCTTAACGATTACTTGTAACAAACCCAGAGCTGACAATAGCCTAGTGACGATCCATGGAACCAGACTCCAGCGGACAACCCAGACTGGCTTCGAGACTTCAAGCGCGAGATGGGCATTCTCGATGATGAGTCAGGGCCCAGTCATTTATGAAATAGATCTTCGCCTCAAACGTGGCTGTAAGAGACAGGGCGACATTCTAGTGGAACTGGTTCATGGTGCACAACCTCTCAGCCCCCATGCGGATAGACTCCACGCGGAAGGCGTAGCAGGGCAATTGAACTCGTAATTCTCTACATTCTGGAACGGAAATTATTACTCATCGAAGTACTTAGAGATGATGACTCTAGATACCTTAATTCAAGAGATTTTCTTGCCGCTGATATTGCAGCGATACCGGCGAAATCCACACACGCCCTACGCATTTGGAGCGCAAGTAAGGCGTAGGGAGCAGTTGACATGGATTTTATGGGGCTTATCCGAAGGGACTAGTCCATAATCTGTCCCATTGATACATTACCGCCCTAGGGCGTGAGTCTATCTCGCTAAAACCACTGCTTTGTCACCCTCATCGAACGGAGTGATTTTGTAAGGTACTAGTAGTGTGCAGAGCATTGAAGCGAAGCATTTGTTCCTTCAGTACCAATGAATATTTTCTTCAATGAGAAGGCGTCTTTCCCACTTCGAAAGTCAAAGTGTTTCCCATCTCGCGCAAATTGACCTAGGATTCGAAAGATCTGGCGCCTATCTTCATTTGTGCTGATTTCTCCCTGTCGGCCTCTCAACAACCACTCACGAAACTCCGAAGACCAGGCTTTAGACGATGCGTGTTGGTTTCCTTGGTTTGGGGTTCATGGGCACTCCCATGGCCCTGAACCTCGCTCACAAATTCCCACTGACTGTGTGGAACCGAAGTGTTTCCAAATACCCGGCGCTCACACAAGCTGGTGCTAAGATCGGCGATACGCCGGCGGCGGTGGTTCATCAATCCGATGTGATCTTCACGATGCTCTTTGACGGCCCGGCGTTAATCTCGATTTTCGACAACGACTTTAAATCGGCACTCCGCGGCAAGTCTCTAATAAACACGAGCTCGATCCCTTTGGAAGTCAGCGAGCAAGTAGCTGACCATGTTCACAAAGCGGGAGGCAACTTCATCGAAATGCCGGTCAGCGGCAGCAAAATCCCGGCGGAACAAGGCAAATTAGTGGGTCTCATGGCCGGCGATCCGGCCCTCGTGGAGAGGATGCGGGCGGTAGTGGAGCCGCTTACTACCGCCGCCGTGTATTGCGGGCCAATCGGCTCAGGCTTGAAGACCAAGTACGCGGTCAATCTCTACCTCAACACCATGACGGTCGCTCTTGCAGAGTCGTTCAGTCTCGCTCGGGCGCAGGGCCTCGATCTCGATGCTTTCGGGCAGGTACTCGACGCCGGACCCATGGCTTCCGCGTATTCCAAGATCAAGGTCGCCAAGATTGTCAATGGGGATTGGAATCCACAAGCATCTATGAAAGATTGCTACAATAGCATGCAGCTCATTACCGAAGCCACGAGGCGGGCGAATGTACAGTCGCCTCTGGCAGAGTTGTGTCGTTCAATCTACGGACAGGCGAGCGATGCTGGCCTGAGCGAGCAGGATATGATTGCGGTGTACAAAGTCTTTCAACCAACCCCATTTTCATGATATGAATATAAGAAATACTTAAAATCGCCCAGACAAAGGGAGCGTTGATCTCTGTGTACAAGTTTCACAAATGCCGTTGGACTGTGGGAACCAACAGTTCATGTAGGGAGGTCTGACCTGTCATATCTGTGTTCTGCGCTCTATTCTTGTGATCCACGCGCATCATTCCGGCTTCGCCTGTGAGCGCTCTCCGTGGGAGACATCATGTCTTACCAATATTGCTTCCCAACAAAGTTGATGGCAACGTACGTTTCTTACCCCGCGGCTTTGCATGAAGCTCGTGTGATACAAGGAACCAGCGTTACTGTCAAGAATGCAGTTGGAGCTAAGATTGCTGGATCACCGACGCTTGACCGGGGAAATAACCTCTGGGGGGTACTGGTCGAGACCACTGTAGCCTGTGCCGCATCGACTGTGCTGTGGTTTCTCATTCAACTCCACACTCCTGCATCAAGATACAGCACAAACCAACAACTCGAAAATGACAGAATCATTCCAACTTCCCGAAAATTTGACTGAAGCGTGCTCGGCTTATGGAGCCGATGAATTTCCGGCATTTCTTGAGACGAGCCTCTACCCTCGAGAAGTCCGAGTAACGGGCAAAAGACGATACAAAGAAACCGCTAGGATGACGTCGGATTCACGTATCAAGGCAGCGACTGTCCTCGATGGAGAGAATCTAGGTCACAAATTTTGGGGACCAGTACACGAAGTCTAAGGTCATCGGCACCGACCTTAGCCCCATCCAACCCAGCTGGGTACCCCCCAACGAAGAATTCATACTAGACGATTGCAATTTGAATTGGACTTGGCCGGAAAGTCATTTCGATTTCATTCACCTGCGGTCCCTCTAGGGGAGCATTCCAGATTGGCGGGCTCTGTATGCCAAAGCCTTCAGTCACCTGAAACCCGGGAAGTGGATTCAGAGCATCGAGATGGAATATCGAATCAAGTCTGACCATGTCAATTTTCCTGCCGACCATGTGTTTAGTCGCCGGGCTGACATGGCGTACGAGGCAGGCCAGAAAATAGGTCGGGCTTTCACAACTTGCCAGGGTCACAACATGAAGAATCTTTTACAAGAAGCTGGATTCATCGATATCATAGAGCAAAAGACAAAGGCACCGTTTCATGGATGGCCCAGCGACCCAAAGTTACGGGAAGCTGGGACCTTATTCCAACTTGTATCTGATGAAAGCCTGTCTAGTTTTGGCATGCATCTTTTTGAACAAATCTTGGCATTGATACGCGAAGATGTTGAGTTGTTGATTTTAGAGATGCGTAAGGTGTCGTGAAAGAAATCCAATTGCTATTCTGGACTTGTTACTTTATGGGCTGGCTAAGTATTTGTAGGACAATTGTATATGGAAGAAGGCCCCTAGCCAACTAGACCTCTTGTCGGATTGAGCGTCGCTCGGGACTGCGTCTGGTACGTAACCCACATATTCAGGGGCTTGGAGAGCGGTGGAGATCCCCGAGCACGGGCCTGGGGCAGAGAGACATTGTTGTGGTTGACGCTTGGCGGAGTATCCAGGATTGGTCTACGAACAGGTTCCCAAGAGAAGATACGAATTTTACGGCTAGCTTATCAAGCAGGTCAATTTACTGACCCCATTTTTGTTCCAACGAACTCTGACTCAACCTGTTTGATGAGTCGCGAGAATGACTGATATTGTCGGTTGCCGTCGGCTCAACTATGGACGGAGTAACCCGAATGCCACATACTCAGTGGTTGAATCTGCATATTTGGAGACCGGCATACCTAGTCACAAGACAGCTCAAGGTGTTCGGCCATGATCATGGCGGGGAAGCTGGAGTAAGACTGGTCAAAATGACGTAGATAGACTGTAGAGACGGTCATCGCCCATGAAGTTGACCATTCTCTTTGCAGGTTCAAAGGATTTTGAATTTTGACTCTAGCATCAAACAAGGAGGAACAAAGCCCGTTCAAGTCCACGTGAGATGGCATACAACGGACCACAAGAAGTCCAGGTGACAAAATCATCTGATGGTATTACCACAATAACCATCAACCGAGAGCATCGAAGGAATGCAATTGATGGACCGACCGCGCGCAAACTCACCGACGCCTTCCTAGCCTTTGAAAACGACCCTTTCCAGAAGGTTTGTGTTTTCAATGGAGCAAATGGTACCTTCTGCGCCGGGTTCGACCTTCATGAAGTCGCAAAATATGGGCATGTATCCGGGAAAGACGGCTACAATGGGCCCATCATCGACGACAGTCATCGAGTTCAAGGCCGAAACATCGGGCCCATCGGCCCATCGCGAATGCAAATCAAGAAGCCAGTCATCAGTGCCGTGTCAGGTTATGCCGTTGCTGGAGGGTTGGAACTTTCTCTTCTCGGTGACATCCGTGTTGCCGAAGACGATGCCGTCTTTGGAGTCTTTTGCCGACGGTTCGGCGTCCCCCTCATCGACGGCGGCACTGTTCGCTTGCAAGCCATCGTAGGCCTTGGTCGAGCCCTCGATATGATACTCACCGGCCGTGGAGTATCCGCAGAAGAAGCCTTGCAGATGGGCCTGGCTAACCGGATTGTGCCCAAGGGCCAGGCTCTGGCAGAAGCAACAAATATTGCTCGACAATTGCTGGCGTTCCCACACGCCTGCATGAACACTGACAGAACGAACTGTTATTACTCGACTTACAATGCTAGCTCATTCGAGGATGCTCTGAGCAACGAGTTCGACCAGGGGATCAAAGTGATCAGCACGGAGAGTCTCCAGGGTGCAATGGAATTTTCCAAGGGAGCAGGGAGGCATGGAATTTTCGAAAAGGCCAAGATTTGAGGCTTTGGCCAGACTGACGGCAGATTGGAAACTGGCCGGGGTGAATTGCCGACATCGGAATCTGTAAACTTTAGGGAGCCGAGCCAGGAAGAAGGACTGGCTGTTTTGGACTAGCAAAGGGCGCAGAATGTCATATGGAGACCTTGTCAAGAGTGCACTCGTTTCGCTGCCTGGGGCGCCTAGTGGCCCACGTATGGGGCAGGACGAGAAATAGCCTTGGAGTTGGGAGTCAACTATGACTACCATCCATGAGAAATGTTCAAATTATTCTTCCTTGATTGGTAAGTAAGGTAGAGTAAATAGGCTGTTTTGAGACTGCGGGAAGTTTCAACTCGCCAACGGGATGGATCACGGCATTGTTGCGGAGTAGTCGGCGTAATCGGCGTAGAGTCAAACACGTGTTTAGCGAAGTCTTTGCAGGCTTGCACATAAGTGGAAATGGACTAGCTAACTAATTTGAGAATTGAGGCGTGGTACGACTCTTGTTATCCCAGCATTCATGATTGCTTTGGCAGAAGCCATGTTGTTTAACTCTTGTCCAACTTCAAGAGCTTCGAACTGTTACCTCTCGGAATTCCTTCAACATGCCATCCGACCAAACTAGCTTCAATCACCGATCCAAGTCATTGGCATTAGCCTTCAGTACCAGTGCTCCTACCGCAGTCTCAAGCGGCATATTCGAGGAGAAAGGTATCATGCGGGCAATGGGATCTGGTGTGATGGCAATAGCAAAACTGATCGGAATGCCAACGAGAAGTGACGTGGAAGTTCACATCGACCATCACTACACGTCGAAGATATACTCCGCAAGATCCCAGGTTTCCGGCTCTGTCAGGGTAAACACGCAACAGGATACGGCGTTCGATTTCGTTGAGATCAATCTCTTGGGGAAAGCCACTGTTCGGCGGGAAGATGTCCACGTTATGACCGAAACGATACATACACTGCTCAAGCTGTACATGCCTGTACCCGAATCAGCTTACCCATCAACGAGGGTATTCAAACGTGGACACGCCTACTCAATACCCTTCAGCTTCATCATTCCGCATCAACTCACCAGCAACGTATGCCAATACGAAGTCCAAACAGAAGCAGTGCGGCATCACCATCTCCGCCTGCCGTCGTCATTGACCGGATTTGAGAAGGATGACCTAGCAACAAATATGGCAAAAATCCAATACAGCGTGAGGGCCAGGGTTTTCAATATTGATGAGGGTAGTCCCGTGCAACTACCGGCGCCGATTCTTGAGTCTGAGCATTCGATTAGCATCCTTTCGCCATCCCCAGAATATCCGCCCCTGGTCCTCGATGAGCACGATCTTCATTACGTTCTCGAGGATACCAAACCTGCCAGAAAGAATTTATTTTCTGTACCTACAGGTCAGATCACGGCCGAATCATGTCAGCCACAAGCAGTCCGTTTGAGCTCTGATGGACACGCGGCATCCAGTTCGTCAGCCTACATTAACATCACTTTCCGCCCCGCGGCGCCAGATGTGCTACCGCCGCAGGTTAAGATCAAGTCTACGAGGATACTGGCACAAACCTGGGTCTCTACGCGACCGGCACAAATATTCCCCAACATCGGCGGAAATCGAGAACCAGTCACACTATCTACACTTGCTATCATCGACGCCACGAACATTACACCGTGGATTCAACACGTTCACATTCTGGAGGACGGGAAATCTGGAAGAACGAAGGGAGGTAATCGAGGATCGAGAGACATCACGGTGATACGCAACAGCAGCATCCCGGATGATAGTATACCAATCACACATACGTGTTCGACGCAAGTCGACTTCAGACTGCCGACCTCAAGCCACGTTTTCCCGCCGACCTTTCACTCTTGCTTGATCTCGCGGACTTATACTCTCGAGATCAAGCTTACGGCGGGAGGAGCTGAGCTTTCTCTGCTGGTGCCTGTCCAGATATTCATGGAACAAGAAGGTGGACGCTCTCAGACGTCCACAGAGTCGGAGTTGCCCAGCTGGGATGATGTTGGAGGAGAAGCTGTCTACGCACGTTTAAGAGAGCATCGCCGAGCGCTTTGAGGGAACAAAAATCCACTAAGCGGACGAAATCAACCAATGGTGACGGCTGTTCCGCTCAAAGAGCAACATAATCCATGGCGAGTTTCTTCATTTGGAGCTCGGAGTGGTGGGACGAAAACCACACCCATGAATCGTGTCAGAAAACAGAAAGGCGCCGCTTAGCAAATGCTAGAGATACCAAGGGTAATTAGGGTGAATTTACGCTGTATTAATATCTTGTGCACGACTAAGTACGTCGAGTTCTGTGATCCATTCCTACCCAAATACGCCGGAGTCATTCATGATATTCGTTACCATCAAATCGCTGTCACCCTACTATCTATACAGTGCTTTCCTGCGCTTCAGCTCGATCTTTGCATCAACAGGAGGGACAACAGTGACGCCGACCCACTGGTGTTTGGGCCTCTCAGCCAGCGGCTTGACGTCGTAGTTGAGGAACAAGTTGGCAACTACCATCTTCAGCTCGTGGGCGACGAAGAAGCGGCCAGGACTGCATATCATTAGTTCTATGACGATGGCGACGATGAGAGAGAGACAGCTGCTTACCAAGCGTGTCGGCCGTGTCCGAATGGCAGATGAGCATCACTTGTTGTGACCATGCCAAGGTTCTTTAACCTCAGCCCCTCATCCAGATTGCGTTCTGACTGCGGTTTCGCCTCGTACTCTTCCCTCTTCCTGCTCGTCCGGAACGCGTCGTACTCCCTAGCGTTGGGGTTTAGCTCGTCGTCGTGGTGAAGGCCTTCGAGGTTCACGGTGAGGAACGTGCCTCTCGGCAGATGCCACCCCTCCTGCTCGTTGGTGATGCCCTCCTTGGCAATGACTTTGCGCTCCATCAGGGTACAGCTGAAGTTACTGAGCCTCTGGCTCTCACGGATTGCACTGTCGAGGCGATACAGCCGCGATAGTCCATTTTTCGTCCAGCTGCCGCCCTCCTCGCGAAGAACGCGTTCTGCCTCTTCTCGGATACCCTCGATATAGCCCTTCGCCGGGTCAGAGCTCAGCAAGTCTAAGACTATGCTGTGGCCGGTAATGACGGTCGTGTGGATCGCGGCAAACTGGATCGGCAACAATCGCTTCGAAATAACGTAGGGGTCAAGTTCGAAGAACTTCTTCTCAGCCTTTGCCATGCGGATATCCCAAGTAATAAAGTCTTCGGGTACAACCCAGCTCTCGTAGGCCGGATCCCCCGCCTCCTTCTTTGCCATATCGTCGAGTCGTTTCCTGATGACCGGTAAGCTATGCTTCGAGGCTTTGCGCCACAGCCACCAATTGGGTAATGCGATCAAGGGTCCGAGGATGGGCAGGATGGTCTGGGGAACCATGTGGAGTGCAAAACAGTTGAGGATGACCTGGTCGACGAACGAAACCATAGCCTTGCAGAACTCTTTGGTGCGGCATACGCCCTCTCCCACGAGCATGCGGTTCGTCACGGGCGGCACAATCGTCAGCCAGGCGTCCCAGAGGTTTAGAGTCTTCCAGTCCTCGGTATCCGTACCAAAGGCCTCGTCAACAGCGACGGAGACCTCTTCTTCAATCGCGGGGATCAGTGTGCTGAGGTGACGGGCCAGACTCTTGTGGATTACCAGAGTATGCCACACATCGTCGGCGTAAACCTTTCCCAAGAAGTTGTAGTCGCTGTATAGGACGTCGTTATGCGCTTCGTGGGCGGAAACGACCGAGTCAGGGTACTCGAGGAGCCATTTCGTGAGGGACTGCGGGAGGATGATGTCGGGCGCTCTACTAGCGGCAGCGGGGACTACAAAAGCGCGGTTCTGCTTGTTGTACTACGTTGTCGCATACCAAGTCAGTGTCTCTTCTGGCTTCGCCAAGTTCCTTGCGCCGGGAATGATAGCATACCTTCTTGTAGCCCTCAATAACCCAGTCTCGGTAGCGAAACATGTAGTAGTAGAAGTTCTTGAAACGTGCGACAGTGCCCTTCCCATAGCCCACAACGGGGATGTTCTCTGGGTATGTGGGCTTCCATGTGTGATCGAGGATGAGGAGACCAACAAAGACGATAAAGAGGGAGCCGAAGACGCGCCCAGGCGTCAGCGACTCAGTGATTTGGGCGTGAAGACTGCCCGCCATGGTGACGTAGTGTACAGCAGAGAGCTATCTTTCTCTGAGCATCGTCGTCTCTAGCTTGCAGAGAAAAGGAACTGAGATCAACACAGAGTATAGGAGTGAGACGGAGATGTGTAGGTGGAACTTCGGACCTTAACAACAGACCGTTCAGGAGTCGACGATTGGTAATGCTGGTTTGGGCTTCAGGTCATGACGCACTGGCTGCATTGGCGGCTAGACTAGAGCCTGTCATTTGGACGGGACTTGAGCTGCCGGCGGATACCTACAGCTCTACTTTAATTAGGTAGCTACATTCCTTTTTCAGCTGCTTCCAATAGTCTCTGACAACGAACAATATTCTCTCCAAAGTTCCTTATTATGCCCCTCACTGGGCACCGTTTGCTCCCCACAAGAGCTCTTGATTGGAACTTTGGGAGCATGTCTGTCGGATCCTGCGTGCTTAAGCGAGGCACGCTGTGACCTGTTTCAGGTACGTGCCGTCTCATCTTTGCTCTCGGCCGCGATGTGTCCTAACACAATAGCACTGAATTCTTGTGCAAATTATGTTAGTGCAGGTTCATGGAGGGGTGGGAAACCATATGCAGGGTATCGCTTCCTCTTGTCTCGAACCTTGCTTAGAAAAGCTAGGTGTATCGGGGTGGTCTCCGCCATCGCACTCGTATTGGTCGTGTTTCCCAAGGGCAAAGAAGTGGAAAAGACATAAGACCATCCTTCACACAAACTGAGAACTGTCGGATATCGAACGAAAACGAGTTGATTTTACTCAATGCCTGTCTCCCGTCCAGCACAGGGGACTCGTTGGCGAGCTTCTGAAGAGTTAAGTTGGAAACAACCAGCCCTCCAAGAATTCTCCTTGAGCGGCGAAGGCCTTCTTCATGTCTGCCTGTACCCATCCGTTATCACCTCAATGAAAGCTTGCCCACCCTTCCGGCTGACCCGGACGCCCAACAGACTCGGCCGTAAACGCACTCGACAGCGTCAAACGAGCCTCTGTCAAATGTAACCCAAGTCTTTCCACCATCAAGCGTGATGTCGGACCCAGATGGTCCAACGGCGACAGCCACCCCACACAGCCCCGGGGCCCATGATGAGCCCGATCGGTATCCGCCCGGAAACACCTCCGACGCGGTCCATGTCTCTCCGCCATCCTCAGACCATGCTGATGTATGGAGGGAACCATTGGCCACGTTGAAGTCGCCTCCAGTTGCAATGCCGTTTTGCGCATCTCTGAATCGTACCGAGAACACCCCAGCCGAGCCACCACCCGCTATCGCACTGCCCGAGACATCCCACTCATAACCGTTTGCGCTCCGGAAGACCCTGCCAGGATCGATGCCACCCGATGCAAGATACCATCGACCCGCTGTGGTAGAGAGGCAAGTTCCGCTGGCTGCGAATCCGAATTCTCCCTCTAAAACGGAGGGCATGCCATTGGGGTCCACGATAGTCCAAGTGTTACCCCCATCGAGCGTCTCAATCAATCGAAACTTGCCATCGACTGGGTCGCTCACGGCAATGCCCCTCTTATCGTCCTCAAAGTCGACGCAGTTGAAAAACGCTGATGCCTCCTCATTGGCGAAACTCTGCGTCCAAGACTCTCCTCCATTGGTCGTGATGTAAATGCGCGAGTCCGCTCCTTCGCCAATAGATAGGACGATTGCCTTTTCGGCCGAGAAGGCCTGTACGTCACGGAACTGCAGTTCGGCGTCTTCGGTCGACAATTCGGGACCAACTGATTGCCACGAAGCACCGCCGTCTGTGGTGCGTAGAACCGTCCCTCCTGTACCGGATACCCAGGCTATTTGGTCCGACACAGGCGACAATCCTCGAAATTGCTGTTGACTACTGGTCGGTAGGATGTCCCATTTCAAAGTCAGGTTCACGTTCCGCTCGTGGACACCTCTCGTCACTGCCAGTGGAGACGCGCTCGCGACAAGAGTCAAGATGAGTGCAAAGAGGTGCCTCATCATAGCGTTGCAGAGTTGATTGATCGGTTCGATACGAGTGAGAAGAGATGATCGTTCAAGAGAACTAGGTCTGTACCTAGGGTGCATGTAGGTATTAAGTCGGGGTTCGTGTTGGTTTGTGGTACGCCAGCCTCCTCATTTCGTTGCTTGCCACCTCAACATCCTTCTCGCAGATCATTGACGACCTTCCAATTCGGGCCACATCGTCTGGTGATGTTTCTTCGTCTGGACCCACTCACCAATCCCATGGTCCTGGCCCCTGGGATCTGTCATCCTAGAAACACCATCGCTCCGGTCCTGAATGCACCTATTCTCAGCTAACAATGTGTTCATAAAACACTTAATTTGCGTCATGCTTTGCAATTTCCTTTCCTTTAATCGTTTTTTTCACTCATTGGCCTTAACTGTATACTTTTATCATCGCTGTGCAAGCTCCAGAAATTTGTGCGTAGTAAGTGTATCCAACCTCGGCCTTGTTTATTCTTCACTACCATACTCACCCTTTGAATAATAGTATGTACATATGCACCAGATATAATCAAGCATCAACTTCTTTCTGCTCTCCGGGAACCTCGGGAGGTCGTCGCCTGTTCATTTTCCCTCACTTACCTCCAGTAGTGAACTCGCCGTTCGCAATAGCGTCAGTGATCTCTTCGTCCGCGCTGAAGTAGACGTCCAGATCACTGCGTTTCTCTAACAAGAGGTCAACTACCATGCGACCGAAGACGATCTCGCCAGCTTCACCCAAGTGTGTTCTATCGGTGCTAGCCAGGTTATAGTACTGCGCGCTTTTCTCCCCAATGGCGTTGACGTAGTCTATGCTCGCCAGGTTGAGGTCAAGCCACCTGACGCTGCTGGCCTTTGCCGCTGCGATCGTTTTGCCCCTCCATTCAGCAAGATCTTGGACCACTTCGCCACCTTCAAAGCGACGGCGAGTAAGAGACGTGATGAAGATCTAGACATGGTGTTAGTCACCAGAATTGGTTCACTGCACATGAGGTGTGAACCCACCGGAGTCGCCCCAGCGTCCCTGAGCTCGGCAGCGATGTCAACCAGATTAGCTCGGAACTCATCCAAGGTAAGACTCTTCTGGTCATTGTGGCCGAACTGAACAGTGACGATGGGCTCGTAGTCAGCCCTGGTATCGTTGATACCCTGCAAGAGTGAGGCCCAGCGGCCGTTCGACTTCCAGGAGACGGTGGTAGAACCGCTCTTGCCCCTGTTATCGCCCTTGGCGGGGTCTTTGAGATAAGACAGGAAGCCGTCACCCCAACCTCCATTGACCGCAACGGTGGAATCGCCGATGAGAAATAAATACGGAGGCTTCTTGGCTCGAGCCACGGGCGTTCCCATGGCCATCGTTGCCGCCAACGCAAGAAGTGATGTGAGAATGGTGGATCTCATGACGCAAAGTTTGGAAGCTAGAAAGCTAGTGATGGCGAAATAATTGCGATCTTGTCGACGATGTCTGAATATACTTATTTTATCAAGTTTGATGATCTCCGAGATTCTGAGATTCTGAGATTCTCCGATCTTAGTCCCGACATTGTATAACTTTGATAGTCCCCTAATACATCCCTCAAGAGCGTCGCCATCTCTCATCTTTGAGGTCTCCCATCATGGTCACGGACAATGTGATTGCTGATCCACCAATTGAATCTCAACCTTTCGGCCGAGAAGACGTGTCGAGCTGAACTGACGCCATCTCATCTACATTTCTGCGCGTGGACGAGGGGCCCCGTAATGGACTTGCCGGCAGCAATGGTCTTTCTCGGAGGAAAGGAAGTTTTGAGGCTATAAGTCGACCACGGTCAACGCCTATCCAGGAAAAATACATGTACCAACCCTTTAGTGCAGCATTGATGACAAGTTGGAGTTGCCTGCGCTTTGGAGGTCATACACGCACAATCATTGCCCCGAAGTGGCATACACACACAGAATTACATCCCTGTGGATACGCTGTTCGGGCTAATGCGGGTCGATCCGTTCAAACATACCAGGTTCCTAGCCACCGTGTGTGGGTGTGTTCAGGTGAGCCGTAGTGATCGTCGTCTGCGTGTCCAGATCTGACGGGCTGACGGAGCAAGTCTGTCGGACTCCAGGACCAACATTGGAAAATAAATTCCACATTTTGGACAAGATGTTCGATACGTGCAAGTTTATCCATGACAAGCTGCCCGGCCCGGAACAATGTTTTCCAACAGGACCATCTCCATGGCCTGATATTCCACTTTAGGAAGATGAGATGAAAATTGGTTTGTGGGATACACGAGTGTTAATGATTTGAAGTATGGATAAAGTAAAGGTGTAGAGCTTTTCTGCTTCGCCTTACTTTGAAGCAACAAGGCCAACTAAGTAGTCATCCGTTTCTAGCAAGTCGGATTCAGTCAGCCAGGAAATCACTCACTATGTTCATCTTGTCATCTACAGAAGGCGTAGGAGTAGGCACGTCGAGGCAATATAGGTTCTCCGGCCAGTGTTCCACATGGGGACATGAACAACGGCGTAGAGCCCAAGGCAGATGAGAAGTGGTCAAAACGCATCTCAACTGAAGCCACATCTACTCAAACGCACCTACCGTAAATAGGCTTTACGCATAAGGATGGAACAGAGACTAGGGCCGATCGTCAAAGCATGGCATCCTCGTGGCAGTAGGCTAGGATAAAGCCCAATGTTACACTCGTGCTCCAAATGTCAGCGTGTAAGCGCGCAGGAATGAAAATTTCAGGACCAGCGTAACGCCTGTTTACTGCATTCTGATGGGTTTCACCAACACGCTAAACTTCTGAAAGCGTGACTGTCATCCATCGGATTCTCGCCTGGGCTCTTGGCGTTGAGATGACTATACCTCACTCAGACTCGAACCCCTGCCTTGAAAAGCGTGCCCATGTCTCAACATGCGGACTGCTCCGTCGAACACACACAAGGGGCATCAAAGGGATATCGATTGCCGAATTCTTGAGAATTGTGATGAATCCATATTGAGTCTTGTAGTAAAACCCAATAGCTCGGCTTGGTTACCGTTTTCAACTTTTGCGTTCGTTCTTTACACACTTTTCAGTCGCTCTTTACATCAGCTTACCTGCATTCTATTCACTCATTCGAGAACCGACTTGAGCCAGTCTTTCTGTTATTTTCCTCAATCTTCCTCTAGCAATATGAAGTTTGCAAATATCTTGGAAATTGCTGGTGCAGCTGGTGCCTACACAGTCACTGTGGTTGACAAATTCACGTACAAGAACATTGATCCTGTAGTTATACCGGGCCAATATGCCAGCCACATGCACACATTCTTCGGATCTGATGCTGTGACGTTGAACACAACCACCTCTAAAGAGTTGCAAGCGGGCTGTGCCACAGCAGTCAACCCCAACGACTATTCCTCTTACTGTAAGTCAAGCTCTGTGGAGGAGATATCTTCATCAAGTTATTAATTTTGAAAAGTCTGTTTGTTAATCCGAAACCAGGGGTTCCTACTCTATTTTACAAAAAAGAGACCGCGAATACCCCAGTTCCCATTAGTCGATTCAGTGCCTATTACGTTGCGATCGAAAAGGTAGAAGTCGCCATTCCACAAGACTACAAGACTGTCGTCGGCAACGCCTCCGCGAAGTCCGAAGCTGATACCGAGCCTCTCGCGGGCATCCAATGGTTTTGCGAGGGCGGCCCCAGTGCAGGGAAGGATGTCAATGGCTTCCCATCCAAGACCTGCAACACCCATCTCCAGACGATTCTCCTGTTCCACGACTGTGTCAACCAAGAGACACTCGAATCCACATATTCTGGAATCCAACACTGGACCGCAACTAGTAAGCCTGCTAACCGCTGTCCTCTTGGTATGAAGAGGATGCCCCAACTGCGCTTCAGCATCCGCTATGATCTTCGCAAGGCTTTGCCTAACGGCTGGGAGGGAACCGCACCCCTGGAACTGGCTTGCGGCCCCGCCTACTGCACCCACGGTGATTTCATCAACGGCTGGCTTCCTGAAGCTGCTGAGAACATGCTGCTTGCGAATTCAAAGCGAGATTTCGCCGGTGTAGATGGTCCTGCAGGAAAATACAGTGCAGGATCTGTCTGTGGTGCTCAGAACGCCACGGACGCTGATCCGGAGAACGGCACTTCCGACTATTTGACCAGCAAGCAGATTCTCCAGAAGCTTACAGACCAGAAGGCTTGATTCAGTGGGGTTTTTTGAGTTTGTCCGGCTTGGTCAAGTCTCATTGTGTGCGCTGGAATGCCGGCTTCTTTCTAGTTAGATCTATCTTTCAAGACGAAGAGAGCGAAGATGGTCTCGGCCTCAAAATCTGCTGGGGTTCCCTCACCCCTGTTGAAAGTCTTCTTATAGACTATTGGATTTATTCCTGTGCCCTGTAAATCGATGGAGGTTACAGTATTGGTTCCGTTGACTGCTCTTGTATTACTACTAAAACATCACTTACTGAAGTCAATACTAACTGGCCCTATTCCCATATCATTCCATCCCCGAACACGGCTTTTGCAAAGACGTTGCGTGTGTATCGCCCATGGAAACCTGTGATTGAACTCAAAACGCAGATCTTGTGCGAACTGTAGCGATCAAATTTCTTGAGCGGAAACGTCAAAATTCCAGGCCCGATCGTGTCTCAAGTCAGACAACTTCACGAGGGCAAGGTGGCAATCAATAAACTGGAAGGCCTAATTCGCCTTGGTTACGTTGAGTGAAGCCCTGGTCTCATATCTACTGTTTTTTGTTGTTTACAGCCATTCAGTGCACAGTTTGTGTGTCATTTATTTGGTACCGTGTGGCTCACCAAGCTTTACGGCATTAAACATCCGATGGACCACGACCTATGCCCAAGGGTGCTGCACCTATGTGGCGGCTTCACCACATTTAATCAGTACATGCGTAAACGAACCCTGCTATCGGAAGGAAACCCGACCATATTATCTTGTGAGTCTCGACCGCAACTGTTTATGTAAGTTTTCCCCGTATGGTTTAGTGAGGGCGGTACTTGATTTCCGGGAGAATCATTAATCATAATGAATAGTATGTCTACCTCAATAGGCCGACTCGCTTCACTTGAAACGCTTCGGGCATGGCTTAAAGAAAACTCTCACCTCAAGCCCGATAAGATGAGCCCAGTCGGGGAAGTTCTCATAAGGTAGGTCAAGCGTCTAGGTTGGGTAATACCTTAATCAATAATTGCCGGGAAGAGAGACAGCGGTCAACGGTGGAGAGCGGCGGAGAACGGTTGGCGGGGTCAATCCCTCGGGCTGCTGAGCTGCTAAACCCTGCGCATTGACAGGTTTTGTTTCCCGTCTTGTTTTTTCTCTTACTCCATAAACAAGTCCATATTTGATCAGGGTTGCCCTAAATTATTCTCATGTCTATGAGAAATCTTCTCTTTCTGATCAATTCAGAGTTTTGTTTCTTGAGAAGGTGGGTATAAGCTGAGTAGGGAGCCATGGGGTAGGGCCTTGATAAAATGCGCTGTTGGTTTGCAGTATTGGGGTATCCTCCTTATTCGAGTTAGGTACGTCGTTACGACGGTACTGAGCGAGGTAGCCATCTTCGGTCTGGATTGGCGACGTACTAAAGTACTAATAGCAATCTAAAGCAGAGAAAGATATTTCCCAGTAACCAGATGGGGCCAAAAAGACGCAACACGTGCATGTGGATCCGAGTGTACCATTGCTGATAGGGAACTCGAAAACCGATGTTGAGTCAATCTATCTTCTTTCATTAACAGTGCCTCAACTTTGTCTACTCACTACCACCGCAATAGAGGAGATCGGCCGTCTTCAGCAACTCCTTCACAAAAGCTCAGCCAACTCAAGGCAAAGACGTGTTTCATTAAATATTCGCATTTACGTGCAATTGACAGGATCTGCACCGAAAATGTCGCAAACGGCCGTAAAGACAACATCCATACAGTTGAGAAATATCCACGGCCCCATAGTATCTTCACCATCTACAGACTTCCACGACGACGAAGACAGATCAAGGTCAAGAGATAGATCCGGCTACCTTGAACGTGATGCCTCGAGTCTCAACGAACTGACCTTCCCCGAAGGCGGCTGGCAGGCGTGGCTGGTGGTCTTTGGGTCATTTTGTGCAATGCTTTCGGTTTTCGGCCTCATTAACTCAGCTGCCGTCTTTGAGTCTTATTTCTCTGAAAACCAACTCGCTGATCATTCATCATCCGAGATCGGATGGATCTTCAGCTTGTACCTTTTCATTGTCTTCTTTGTTGGCATTCAAGTTGGTCCTCTATTTGACCAGTACGGTCCCCGCGGCCTTGTTGTCGCTGGTGGCCTTTGCATGTCTGCAAGCCTTCTCTTCTTGAGCTTATGCAAAGGTTTGCCCCACCCACAGCTTAACTCATCATGGTTTCTAACAACGGATTACACACAGAGTACTATCAAATCCTTCTGGCGTACTCAATTCTAGGTGGCCTGGGTGGTGCCCTGCTGAACTCACCCTCTTATGGCGCTATTGCTCACTTCTTTGACTCGCGCCGAGGCTTTGCCACGGGCATAGCAGCCACAGCTGGTTCGATAGGTGGAATAGTGTATCCTATCTTACTTCAGAACCTGTTTCCGACCCTCGGATTTGGTCCGACAGCGCGTATTCTCGGCTTCATTCTCCTGGGACTCACAGTACCCGCGACTCTCTTTATTCGTTCTCGGCTGCCAAAGAAGGAGGGACCTGGGTCGATATGGCCTGACTTCACCGTCTTCCAAAACCTCAAATTTACCCTATCGGCAGTCGGAATCTTCTTTATGGAGTGGGGTCTCTTCGTTCCCATAACCTATATCATCTCTTATGCCGCGACTCTGCCCGGCAGCAACGTTCACTCGTACACAATTCTCTCCATCCTCAATGCAACATCAGCAGTCGGGAGGTTTCTACCAGGCCTAGCTGCAGACAAGTACGGAAGATTTAACGTCATTCTCATCACCATCGCCCTCTGCTTCATCACAGTTCTCGGTCTTTGGCTGCCCTCGGGCAACTCTCAACCAATGCTCTTAACTTTTGTGGCTATATTCGGATTCGCAAGCGGAAGTAACTTAGGGCTGGTTCCGGTCTGTCTAGGCCAATTATGTGACGCGAGGGAATATGGGCGGTATCTGTCCACGGCAATGATGATGGCCAGCTTCGGCACTCTGAGCAGTTTGCCAATTGCTGGTGCCATCCTCGAGGCACAGGAAGGGGGCCAAAATTGGAAGGGACTAATCTTGTTTTCCGGTGTCTCTTACTTTCTTGCTTTCATCTGCTACGCTGCGGTGAGGGTGCTGGCCGTGGGGTGGAAAATCTCAGCTAGGTTTTAGAAGAGCAGTCAGCATATCTAGCAATGACTTGAAGTTTAAACAAGGGTTGTATTTGCAAGCCTGCGGAGCGTGGCTACTTACTATGTCATAAACATTCCTCCAACGGGTCCAACTGTCTATTTCTCAGCTTCAATATGTGCAGCTATTCCCACCAGTCTTTACTACTATTGTTGCGTGTTTGGCGGGCTCTGAGCACTGCCGGTCATCCGTCTCCATGGATTCTTTACTCAAGATGGGTGATTGATCCATATTCTGCTCGAAGTCCATGATCATTGCAGGTTCGGGCCGAAGCGCCGCGGAAAAGCCGATGTCAGGGGTGTCAGGGCTGTCAACTTTTCTGATCGAGTAGAGGAATCCCGGAGGCTGGACCTCATCGTGGCCCTTCTCTCGATTTGGCATGCAGTAGCTAATATCGCTCGTAAGGTCTCACTGAGTCATGATATAGCAGAAAAGGTTCAATGCATTTGCGGTGTAACGCGCAGGGAAAGTCGATTTAACCGACTCTCTAAGCTTGACTACCTTAAGTGCAGCATACATGAGCGCTGACATAATTGTGAGGAAGGCAAATTTCGCCTTATTTTCTTGGATGAGCTGATAGTGTTATTGGACTGGTAGTTTCCTGATGCGCCAGTTATAACGGCAGCCGCAAATTTCGGCGAAATGACTCAATATTAAGCCGTATCTGCTCAACGTCCGACTCAGGGTTGCTCATAGAACCCGTGCGAGTGACCCGTGAGGGCAAGGAAGCAAGGCCCTCCCGCGGTGGAGGCACGGTGGCATCTGGCTTGCGGGTGTTGCCGCCCATTCAAGCTAGTCCGGTCAGTGAGTTGACTGGTCTCTTCCTAGAAGAAGACGAAGGTGAATGACAATAAGCCATTGCTAAGTCACTCGATTCGGACACTTTCAGTCCGTGTGGCATAGCCTCATCCAGATCATGTGTGCAGCCGAACGCTCAACGTCCTAGAGAATGTGGAGGATATTGCTGCCACCCGTGGTCAATGTCAGTCATCGGTGTATCTGTATTGCTCTTCGAGATGCTTTAAACGAATTCTTGAGTCAAGAAACGCATGGTCATCGCTTTTCATCGTGTAACGGGTCTTTTGATTGGGCCAATTTGTAGCCGGTACAAGCTTGAGCTCTGAATGCATCGATGGTGGGCTGCTCTGTGCCTTTCTTTTCATCTATCTAGGGCTAGCCTGATGGTCTGTGGTTTTGCAGTGCAAATGCCATTGGGAAGAAGAATCCTTCCGCTCACAGCCTAGGTACATGAACTGTGGCGGCCTCACCCATATCTGCAGGATTGGAGGCGGGAGCATCATTTCGATATTCATCTGCCCAGTCATAGCTGATCAGGAGTTCTCCAACGTCATGAGCGACTTATTTAGACTTATTTCCTCACCTGTTCATGAGACGTGGTCGGATCTCGGCACAGGCACAGCCTCACCTAGCGTGCAATGAACACCGGAAACTCACACCTCTGACGGGGCAAGGCCCGACCTCCCGACAATGATCGCCATCGCCAATCTTTTTCGAGAACAATGGAGTGTATGATTGTGACTGAATTTGGGCTATCGAAGAAAGCATCGCTGTTTTCACATGGCCCGATGTCATGATATAGCCGCAACTGCCAGCGTCCCCAGATAGCCGGGGTGGGTAATAAGGCGTGAGGAGGCGTGGGACGGCAGAGGTTGCGACTGGTTGGACTTTCCCATCAACTCAATTTACACTAAAAGTCATCTTGAGAAAAGAGTAAAGCTTCAGACGACAGAAAGATGGAGGATTTGTGTGAAACTGGAGATTTCTGCCCTCCTATCACATACCAGACCCTGGCACGAGAACAACGCCACGGCCGCTCCCGGTTGTATA